TATATATATATATATATATATATTTCATCCTTCCCCAAATGCATTAGTAAAAAGTATTTAGTATTAGTATTTTACAAATTAATTTGTAGTGCACTAAGTTTGTGCTAGATGAAAGCATGAAATAACTACATTTAGAATGTATTTTCAGTTAGTATAGACATGTCAATCTATTTTTAGTATACTTATCATGAAATAAATATATTTTAAATACAATTAAGTATATTTATTTTTCACTAGGGTATATAATGTTAAAAGAACCAAAGAAGAACCCTCTAGTATGAGGATGGCATTGGTTTGTCAGCATTTTAAAAATAGTTTTCACCATTTATTCACCTTCTTCTTCTTCTTTTTTTTTAAGTTCACTTCAAATGGTCTTGCAACCCTTTAATTTATTTAATTTATTTATTTAATAATAATCTATGTATTGTTATAGCTGGATGTAGACCCTTCTGATATTTCCAAGATCCTTCAGTTCCCCAAAATGACCAGTAGATGTCAGCAAACACAGTCAAGGCCAAGCCGCAAGTCCATAAATGTAATAATTTCAATGACAGATCATTTCAAACCTTAAAACTCCTGTTTGTTTGTGTTTTAATGAAGGTGTGGCGGTGTGCATCAATCTCTATAATTGCTTCATATTCTTATCTACATTCAAAACTGCAAACAAGTGTTTTTTTTTATGATGGGGTTAACCTAAGACAAAGCCCTAGAGTAAACTTTCTTAAACTGCCCTCATCTCTTATTTTACTATTGCGACAGATCATTTTAAACCTAAAACATAAAAGTCAATAAGCTGCTCATGCTCTTGTTTGTTTGCTTTTTTGTGCATCAATCTCTATAATTGCTTAATAGTCTTATCTTTCTAAACTGCAAACAAGTGTTTTTTTATGATTTGACAAAAATATATCACATAAAACATGCAGTTCTTGAAACTTCTGGAATCACAAAACGAACCACAGTTAATTAATTCAATAAACCAGCACTACCAGTTTCTGTAAATAAAATGTTAAAACAAGAAGCTTTGCATTACAGCAGAAATATCTTAGCCTGCAGTATATGGGGGGCCTCTAAATATTGTTTTGGACAACAAGGACCCTTTACATCAAAAAGTTTGAGAACCACTGATCTAGAATATTATTGAAAGTATAAATATGAAACAAATGCAATGAAAATCTGTGCATTACAGCAGTCTTTGCATTTCTATTTGTGATATTGTTGGCCTTCTGAACTTTACTATTACATTTATGTACACAGGCTGATAATACAGATTTAGGTTAAAGCAACAAGTCCGAAGGTTGGCCATGAACTATGCAAATTTAAATAATGCTTTAACTGACTGTTGTGTAAGAGCAAAGATAATCTATTTTCTCAGTGAAATCTGCCCTTAGGTCTTATCCACTATTACGCTTTACTAGTGTTGTTGGTTTGGTTCAGTAAGATCTCAAACATGGCTCAGCAGGAATACAAAATGCTTAGTGACAAAATGTTCACCTACAAAGGAACTGTCATAACTTTGACAGAAAATTATGATCTCACTCCAGAATATATTGACAGTTTAGAGGATTTTGAAACAAAGGATGATGATGTCTTTGTTGTTACCTTCCCCAAATCTGGTAAGTGAGATGTATGTAAAATAAATTACCTCTGTAGTCAAACTTTCTGCATACTTTGACTTTGCCCATTTAAGCTATAACGGAAAAGTGTGAACTTTTCATTCGCACATGCATGTTCAATGTAATAACATAAATGTTTAACATTATTCAATCAAGCCCAATGTATTTTATAACTAACTCTATGCCGGTTTCTCAGGTACGGTGTGGACCCAACGGATCATGACGTTAATATACGCGGAAGATTTCCCAGACAAAGCCAACCAAATCACATACGAGCAGATGCCCTGGCTGGAGTATCGGATGACAGGGAGAGATTACAGCACACGTCCATGTCCGAGACTCTTCTGCTCACATTTACTCCAGCCGCTGATGCCCAAAATGCTGCAAAGAAAAGGAAAAGTGTGTATGCGTTCCATCAGATGATGGCTTGATGTAATGCACGTTTTAATACGCCTGTCTTTGCTTTCAGGTCATCTATGTCATGAGAAACCCTAAAGATGTCATGGTGTCATATTTCCATTTTTCCAACAACATGAAAAACCTGGATTCTTCTGAGAGCTTCAATGAGATGCTGGAAAAATTCTTCACCGGATGCAGTAAGAGCCAAAACAATACAGCCTAAGTCTATACAGTATATAATTTTTTGCAAAACAGATGAAATACATGAAGACTCATTTTTAAAAAAAGTTTTATGGACAGATAGTTGACAGTGTGGACAGTATGACTGAGAGTGACTCTTGAGGTACCAGCACCAGTTTAAGTCGTGGAGTCGTGGTGTGAGCTGCTACTAACAATGAGCAAGATGGACCTTTCAGAGTAGGAGATGGACTTAAAATTAATTCTCAAAACTTACTGCCATTCTGGAAGATAATTTCTGTGGTGCAAGAGGAAGTGGTCCTGGTCCCTTAACAGTCACTCTCAACCTCAATCTGTCTATTAAGCCTTTATACATGTGATTTGCATGTATTTCACAACACTTCAGCTTGCGGTTCTTAGATGGGGTCATGTTTCAGGATTCTTTACCTTAGCAAATTCTCTGAGAGCCTTCTGAAGGTACTTCTGAAGACTCCAAGTAGTTTGCAGTTCTGGAAAATAGTAGCACAGGACTGAAGTGTTCCCGATGGTTTAATTCTTGGTTTAACACCTAATTCTTCACCTAATTCAAGTCTTTTGCAGTTGATACCTTTTCTTCTCAACTTGTGACCCTGTTGCCTCACTGAGCAATTTTTATAATCTAAATCTCTTTTTTTGGACATTTTACCTGTTTAATAACTACACACATCTGAATATAAAGTGTTTTTCACTTCCATCCCTCATTAATACAAAATTATATCTTATAAATGATATATAATGAATGATAGTTATTAAGATTTATGTGATTTGGAATTAGTACAATGTGCTATAACTTTTATATACTCCTCAGTGTAGGTTAACTTAGTACAAAAATAAAGAGTCTTGAACCTGTTGCGAAGTTTGAAAAACACTAATGTTGTGTCTGGTTTGTAGTGGTTGGTGGCTGTTGGTTTGACCATGTTAAAGGATGGATCACAAATAAAGACAAATACAACATCCTGATCCTTACTTATGAAGAAATGATTAAGGTGAGACAGGTTTGGCCTATGACCCCCTTGACCTTTCCATCAAACTTTCTTTGGAGTTATTGTACTGTATATATGTGTGTGTGTGTGTGTGTGTGTAAGGAATAATTGACGATGGGCCGTTGAATGGTTGTGATTACACCTAATAATTCAATTCTAATAATTACACGGGATGCTTATACTTACCTGTCTTTCCTTAGTTAGTTGGTCTTTATGTTTATGTGTGTGTGTGTGTGTTTCATTATCATGTATTAAAGTGTGGTTCCGTTACAGTCTAGTTGTCCGGTGTCATCTGTTTTAGATGTGTTGTATATTGCTCTGTTCATGTTGGATTACCTGTTAGATTTATTAAATATTACATATTTGCCTTCATCTTCATCTTCATGTGTGTTTATACAACCGCCCGTGTGACAGAACACTGGTCCACAAAGAAAACCAGTAGCGGCGTGTCATTTAAACTCTTATTTTCGTTTTGTCAATGGTTTTTTTTCTATGGATCACGTTGCCGCCGTTCATCTGCTTTGCCTTGAGCACGGAGCTTTGCGGTCTATGTGGAGTGGGTGCTCCACTGCGAGGAGCGACAGCCTGAGCCCACCGCAGATGGAGATAATGCCTCAGTCGTGACATCAGAGCCATCACCAGAAAGAACAATGCCAACAGCAAGCCAAAGGGGACCTCCTCCGAACAGGTGTGCGTGTCGACTGTCTCATTAATTGCAGAGGCAGTACTCGTGGAATTTGTCCCTCTGTTTCACCTCCGTTCAGTGGTGGGGCTCCATCTCGGGCTTCCTGGAAGTCTTCGTCTCCTGCACCTGAGGAGCCCGTGGCTCTGCCTCCGGCTTCAGATGACTCCACTCCACCCCATCCCGTTATCCAGACACCTGTTCTACTCCCACCCTCGATTCCGGCATGAACTATTGGCTATTCGGCCTCACTGGGCTCCCTTGGTCAGTCAGCTCCACCAGGGTTGGACTTCACCACACCTCCGCTGTGGATTCCTTCCTTCCTCAGTCGCTCCAGCTCACCCTCTGGTCTCTAGATCCCCACCTACATCTCGGGCGATCATTGCTATGGTTCTGTCGCAGATGTCTTGATCCGTTGCTCCACCTCCTCAGCTCTCTGTCTGCGCAGCGGGCTTCCCCTCCATCACCGTCGTCGCCTCTGAGCGCAGTCCTGGCTGTGGCCTGTGTTTCCATCTGTCCTCTCCTGCTCAAGGCTCCTCCCTGGCTCTCACCAGTGAGGTGAGGTTGCTAATTCCAAAACATCATTTTAGACCTAGTAATGGAGGCTTGAGCCGTTGATAGCAGACAATGCAGTTGATAATGAAGTTATCAGAGAGAGAGATTGATTAAGCATGTGTGAATTACCTGAGTTTGTGCGACTCTCAATGTCAGCAGCGTCTCTGCTACTAGCGAAACTGTAAGTTCATCTTCTTCAAGAACAGTGCCGTTATTACCTCTTTAGTGAGAAATGTTCTGTAGCTTTAAAAGTTGCGGAGCTATTTACTGATAAAAAACGTCGGAGCAGCGCTGACAACACGTTTCTGTGTGAGTGTGTGTCCGTACTGTATGTGTGTGCATTTGTCAGAGAGTGAGAGAAAGATAGTATTTGTATCCATAAATAATAAAACATAATATTGTGGCAAAATTATGGAAATAATTTGTCATTTTTATCTTATTGTTTACTATTTTTATTAGCTTGGTAAGTCACATTGTGGGTTTTAGTTATTTTGCTTTTGTAGGCTGTAAGGACCTTTGAAATAACTGAAATCATTTGGTAAAGTGATATGGACATGTAATGCAGTCAAGACCTGCCTGGAACTACTTTAGCCATGCGTTTCCCTGAAGATAATTGCAGACCTTAAAGGGGTCATATGATGCCTTTTTAAAGATCATTATTTTGTGTATTTGGTGTAACAGAATATGTTGACATGCTTTAATGTTCAAAAAACATTATTTTTCAAATACTGTACATTATTGTAGGTCCTCTATGCCCCGCCTCTCTCAAACGCTTCGTTTTCTACAAAGTCCCTCCTTCCGACAAGCACAGTCTGCTCTGATTGGCCAGCTGACCCAGTGCATTGTGATTGGCCGAACACCGCAAGCACTCGTTGGAAATGTAAGCCCCTTACCATGATCGCGAGCTTCATCTTTCAAAATAAAGACAGAGCCCGAAAAAGGAACAGAGTCGCGTGACAGACACAGTGATGAAGCTGGTATGAAGCCATGGTTAAGACAGCTGACTCCACTGTGATGTGACACTGTGTCTCTCTGATAAAGTGGTGGAGGCAGCCACGTTCAATCACATGAAGAAAGACCCCTTGGCCAACTATGAATCCCTTTCTCTGAATGCCACAGACCGTCCAAAAGGATTTTTTTTGCGCAAAGGTAAGACAAGCAGTGTCAAATAAAGCATCAAGATACAAATATATAAATGTGTCACCTTCATGTTAATAAAATTTTTGCATGTATTATTTAAACATTATTTCAACGTTTATTATTAAATTTATTAACATTACATTCATTAATAAATGTAATAAGTGTCTAATATCAGCAGCAATAGGAAAATGTTATATTAAAGGGATAGTTCACCCAAAAATTTTGTCATGAATTACTCACCCTCATGTCGTTCTAAACCCGTAAGACCTTCGTTCATCTTCGGAACACAAATTGTGGTACTCTCGTGAATAGCGACGGAGAATGACCTGGAAGAGAACAAAATCGTTGAATAAAATTGTTATTTTTGTTTTCTTTGCGTACAAAAATATTCTCTTAGCTTCATAACATTACGGTTGAACCACTGATACCTCATGGACTATTTTATCAATGTCCTTACTGCCTTTCTGGGCCATGAAATATGGTAGTTGCATTGCTGTTTATGGAGGGTCAGAAAGCTCTCAGATTTCATCAAAAATATCTTAATTTGTGTTCTGAAGATAAACGAAGGTCTTGCAGGTTTGGAACGACACGAGGGTGAGTAATTAATGACAGATTTTTCATATCCCTTTAATGTTTGCAACCTGCTGTGTTACAGGAACAGTTGGGGACTGGAAGAACTCTTTAACTGTGGCTCAGAGTGAATGTTTTGACCGCGTCTACCAGGAAAGAATGAAGGACGTACCTCTTAACATGATCTGGGACATCTCAGAATTGCATGGCTGAAAACTCAAGACGTGGCATCCATTTTACAAGCTAACAAAGATAAAACACTATCATGATAATAAAAGGAACGTATAATGTGAATTGATGTGTTGGACCATATCAAAAGACATAACAATCAGGGATTGATGAGGTTAATATTGGCCTTCTGAACTTCATGTGGTGTGAAAAATGAATTTTAAAAGTACAAATATTCCAATGATTTTTTTTTCATTCGGCCCCTTGTCTGTTTACTTTTTCATTATTATTTTTTAGGTTCACTTCAGTGGTCATGTGGTGTAAAAAAAATAAGCCTCCCAGGTTTATTACTGTTTGTTTACTTCCTGTGAGTGATTTATTCATTCACTTTGTTTACAAAGAAAAATCTTTTCTCTTTGTAAATCTTTTTATCTAAATAAATCTGAAAATAACTTATGAAATTAACTGTGACTTTTTACTTTTCACAATCAAATTAATCAAATGGGTTGCAAATCCTCTTTCATACAGTTTGTTTGTTTGTTTTTTATTTCAAAAACGAAAACTTTTTACCATCTCTTCACTGAAAGAAAAGGTCACTATTTCAATGTTCATGAGCATGCAAGAAATATATTGAGTTAAAGGAATAGCAATTAGGTTTGAAGTCAAATTTCTTATCTTAAAAGTCTCAACCAATTACTTTACAAATTTAGTTCTCAGAGGTGTAGGATTTGTTATGTCAGATTGTCGATCAATCTAATCTCGTATCTTCAGGTAGTCTCAGAGAAATTTGCTAATCCTGGTCCTTTTGCATGATTGGCTCTCCAGATGATCGGATTAGGTGACCCGTGTGTGGAAAAAGAGGCGCGAAAAGAGAGAGGGAGAACTGCGCTCGACAAACGCCATTACTTTCAAACTCAGGCTCTATGTAAGACTAAATCTAGGTGTGTATCACACACTCGTTAAAATGTGTGTAAATCTTGGTCCAAACGATTCAGTCCGTGAATGAACTTCGGATAATTTAGATGGAATCATGAACCGATTCAGGACTAACTAATGGAAGCGATTCATTGAAGAGCACTGACTCAAAAGAGTGAATCGTTCATGAATCGGGCATCGCCATTTCTGATTCTAAACAACCGACAGAAAATACAGGACATGCAAATTGTCGACTGAAATATTGTTAGAAAAAATTTTTTTTTTTTTTTTTTAAATGCTAAATACACTTTCACGGTAAGTTGTCAGATGAGAGAAAGCGAACATCTGCAGTCTGATCAAATCCAAAATAACAAAGATTGGCAGGTTTTAGTCTATTTTAATATTGCAGATTTTTTTTTCTGCAGGAGCACTATGGAGGACTTAAAAAAAATATATAAATAAATAAAAAAAATAAAAAAAAACCGCACATTATGTATTTATTTCTCAATCTGAAAGATGCGACGATGCGTCCCCGATACCCGAGAGATTACATTAAATATCTTGACGTCTGTGATCAAAGTATTACAGTGAAATTTGTTTTTTTTTTCACTGGAAAAGAGGTAGCCTACAGTGTGTGGTACAACTTTGTCTCAGCATTTTTCGTCATTTTAAATCACCTTTTTGATTTTTCTTTTCAACTACTTCTTGCAAGCACTTAAGTAAAAAAAAATCCCCCTATGCAGCAAGTTAAATGTTTTAACTATTAATTGTATAATAATGGTATTTCATGTATTTTGTAATAGTTATAACTACTTTAGACACTTCTGATATTTCTAAGATGCTTCAGTTCCCCAAAATGACCGGTAGATGTCAGCAAACACTGTCAAGTTCATAACATAAGTACCAAGTTTGGCAAAAAGCGGATTCGAACTCAGGTCAATTGCATCAAAAAGACTACAGCAGGCCTGCCTCGGTGCTTTATAATCTGTGCCACTGGAGCTGGTGTTTGATAATCTCTTATGTAATGTTGACTATGCCAATCACATGTTGGTGGGCGGAGTTAGTGTAAATAGCTTCTGCCAACAAGTTAGCCACTTCATAAAGAGCCATTAATTTTACATTTAAAAAATAAGAATAATTAAATTGTAAATAATAATAATAATAATAATTTCAGTGTGTGTGTGTGTGTGTGTGTGTGTGTTTTAATGAAGATATACAGTGTAGTTTGTGCATCAGTCTCTTTGCTTCAAACTTTTGTAGTCTTTATCTAGGCCTACGTTCAAAACTGCAAACAAGTGTTATGATGATGGGATTAACCTGGGACAAAGCCCTAGAGTAAACTTTTTTAAACTGCCCTCATCACTTATTTAACTACTGCGTGACTTTTAACCGTGTTGTTTTCAATGTTAGGTTTAGAAATGGGCTTAAATGATCCCATATAAAGAGATATTACAAAGATAAATCACATGAAACATTTCCTTCTGAGCCTGTTTATGACCATTTTATTGATGTTTTATTCTCTCAGTATATCTATATCAGCGGTTCTCAACCAGGGGACTGGGGCCCAAAAGGGGCCCTCAGCAAATCTCCAAGAGGGGCCACAGAAAGACTTTAAAATATTTAAAATAATAAATTATTGTTAATATATTAACATAATTTAACTCATCTGAATTAAAATGCTAAATCACAAAACAATAATGTAGTATCTTTGTCATAATTACAGCAGAGTTCAAAGGTTGGCCATGAACTAAGCAAAAGCAAATAACACTTTAACTTGCTATTGTGTAACAGCTCTTTTCTCAGTGAAATCTGGCCCTGGATATATCAAGGTCTTCTCTGCTATTTATGCTCTTTAGTATTGTAAGATCTCAAACATGGCTCAGCAGGAATACAAAATGCTTGGTGACAAAATGTTCACCTACAAAGGAACTGTCATAACTTTGACAGAAAATTATGATCTCACTCCAGAATATATTGACAGTTTAGAGGATTTTGAAACAAAGGATGATGATGTTTTTGTTGTTACCTTCCCCAAATCTGGTAAGTGAGATGTTAAGCTGTATTTCTTATGTCTATTTCAAAGTACCTCTTTAGTCAAACTTTCAGCACACTTTGACTTTGACACTGTTTAAAATAGCATAACAATGTGAATTATGCATTACCACGTAAATGTTGAATTAAAAAAATTGAATCAAGCCCAATGTATTTTAACTCTACACCTGTCTCTCAGGTACAGTGTGGACCCAACGGATAATGACATTAATATACGCTGAAGATTTCCCAGACAAAGCCAACCAAATCACAGCCGAGCAGATGCCCTGGATAGAGTATCGGATGACAGGGAAAGATTACAGCACACGTCCATCTCCAAGACTCTTCTGCTCACATTTACTCCAGCCGCTGATGCCCAAAATGCTGCAAAGAAAAGGAAAAGTGTGTATGCGTTCATCAATCGATTCATAAACTGGCTTGATGTAATGCACGTTTTAATACGCCTGTCTTTGCTTTCAGGTCATCTATGTCATGAGAAACCCTAAAGATGTCATGGTGTCATATTTCCATTTTTCCAACAACATGAAAAACCTGGATTCTTCTGAGAGCTTCAATGAGATGCTGGAAAAATTCTTCACCGGATGCAGTAAGAGCCAAAACATTATAGCCCATTAGAGGTTTTATGGACAGATGGTTGACAGTGTGGACAGTATGAATGAGAGTTTAAAGTTTAAGTCAGACAACAGCATGGTGTAAGGGAGTTGTGGTGCGAGCTGCTACTAACAATGAGCAAGATGGACCTTTCAGAGTAGGAGATGGACTTAAAATTAACTCTCAAAACTTACTGCCATTCTGGAAGATAATTTCTGTGGTGCAAGAGGAAGTGGTGCTGGTCCCTCAACAGTCACTCTCAACCTCAATCTGTCTATCAATCTTTTTTTTTAAATTGTCTTAATGTATTTCACAACACTTCAGCTTGCGGTTCTTAGATGGGGTCATGTTTCAGGATTCTTTACCTTAGCAAAGTCTCTGAGAGCCTTCTGAAGGTACTTCTGAAGACTCCAAGTAGTTTGCAGTTTCTCCAAGTGTTCCTGATGATTTAATTCTTGGTTTAACACCTAATTCCTCACCTTGAATCTTAAATTATTTTGTAGTTAATAAATGTTCTTCTCAACCTGCTTTTGTGGCCCTGCTTCCTGTTTCTGGTTTGTAGTGATTGGTGGCTGTTGGTTTGACCATGTTAAAGGATGGATCACAAATAAAGACAAATACAACATCCTGATCCTTACTTATGAAGAAATGATTAAGGTGAGACAGGTTTGGCTTATGACCCTTTGACCTTTCCATTAAAACGTATTTTGAGTTATTGTACTTCTCTTTGGATATATATGAATCTCTGTAGACTAACTGATTAAATGTATAAATCTTTCATTAGGACCTCAGATCCGTCATTGTGAAAATCTGTGAGTTTGTGGGAAAGAATCTGTCAGATGCAGCGATTGATAAAGTGGTGGAGGCAGTCACGTTCAAGCACATGAAGAAAGACCCCTTGGCCAACTATGAATCCCTTCCTCAGAATGTCACAGACCGTCCAAAAGGACTCTTTTTGCGCAAAGGTAAGACAAAAGTGAAAAATTAAGAGTTGGACATTTAAGCAGCATCAAATAAAGCTTTAAGATATAAATATATACATTTATCACCTTCATGATAATATAATTTTTCAAGTGGTTTTCAATTATTTAAAATTGCATTATTACATGTGATAAGTGTGACACATCAGTGGGAAAATGTTATATTAATGTTTTCAACCTGCTGTTTTACAGGAACAGTTGGGGACTGGAAGAAATCTTTAACTGTGGCTCAGAGTGAATGTTTTGACCGCGTCTACCAGGAAAGAATGAAGGACGTACCTCTTAACATGATCTGGGACATCTCAGAATTGCAGGGATGAAAACTCAAGACGTGGCATTCATTTTACGAACTAATAAACCGTTAATATGTGAATGGATGTGTTGGCTATCATATCAAAACAGATAACAGTCAGGGAGTGATGAGGTTTATTGACCTTCTGAACTTTATGAGTACATATATGTACAAAGGCTGATAATAAAAATTTAGGTTGAAGAAATGAGTCCAAAGGTTGGCCATTAACTACACAAAAATAAACAGCTTTGACTATTGTGCAACGTCTCTTTTCTCAATGAAATCTGCCTCTGGATATATTCTCCGCTATTTACAGTCGTTGGTTTGACTCAGTAAGATCTCAAACATGGCTCAGCAGGAATACAAAATGCTTAGTGACAAAATGTTCACCTACAAAGGAACTGTCATAACTTTGGAGAACAATCATGATCTTACTCCAGCTTTGATTGGATGTTGGAAAATGTTTTCACATGATGCAGTAAGAGCCAAAACCAACATACTGCATTTTTGGTATATCAGACACTTAGTTCATTCATTATACTGTATGTATCTCTCTCTCTCTCTCTCTCTGTGTGTGTGTGAGTGTGTGTGTGTGTGTGTGTGTGTGTGTGTTGAACCTGCATAAAGTTTGAAAAACACTAATGTTGTGTCTGGTTTGTAGTGATTGGTGGCTGTTGGTTTGACCATGTTAAAGGATGGATCGCAAATAGAGACAAATACAACATCCTGATCCTTACTTATGAAGAAATGATTAAGGTGAGACTGGTTTGACTTATGACCTTTTGACCTTTCCATCAAACTTATTTTGAGTTATTGTAGCCTACTTGAAATGTACAAATCTTTTATCAGGACCTCAGATCCGTTGTTGTGAAAATCTGTGAGTTTGTGGGAAAGAATCTGTCAGATGCAGCGATTGATAAAGTGGTGGAGGCAGCCACGTTCAAGCACATGAAGAAAGACCCCTTGGCCAACTATGAATCCCTTTCTCTGAATGCCACAGACCGTCCAAAAGGATTTTTATTTCCTGAGCAAAGGTCAGACCAAAGTAAAAAATCTAGAGTTCGTCATTTACGCAGTGCCAAATAAAGCATCAAGATATAAAGATGTAAAATTCAAAGAACATTTTTTTTTCAATCACCTTCATGATAATATAATAATTTTCATTATTATAATAATTTAATTTTCCCTGCCTGTCTCATTCAGGCCTGTGGACAATCCAGTAATTATTCATGCAACATAGGAGTCACAGAAGACTTTTGAAATAGTTCATTATTTAAAAGTTTATTATTTAATATGATGTGTGACAAATCAGTGGCAGTGGGAAAATGTTATATTAATTAACATATATAAACGTTACATGTTTTCAACCTGCTGTGTTACAGGAACAGTTGGGGGCTGGAAGAACTCTTTAACCGTGTTTTGACCGCGTCTAACAAGAAAGAATGAAGGACTTTACAATTCTGGGACATCTCAGAATTGCATGACTGAAAAGATGTGAAATAAATTTTACAAACTAATAAATATAAAACACTATCACAATAATAAAATGAAGGTATACTATGTAATTGGATGTGTTGGCTACACAACCATATCAAAACAGATACCAGATAACTAGTCTTGATGGAGGTTAAAGGGTTATTGTGAACATTATGTAAAATGTGCAAACAATATGAATTTACAGTCTGTATTTTTCAACCAGTTTTTTATTTGATCAGTATAATTTTTATATTGAAGTTGTAAATGTTAAATAAACAAAAATAAATAAATAAAATGAAATACATTAAATGTTGGTCAATCTAAATCTCAAAATGAATTGTCTCTATATTGCTTTGAAAGTCTAAGAACTATATATATATATATATATTAAATTAAATCATTATTTAATCAAGCAAACATATTAAATACAGTTTTGTGTGATATATGAAAAAAACAATGATGTGATATGCTATGCTCTGCAGTACTTGTCCAGAAGGGGGCGGTCTGCCAGTGCTGGTTGTCATGGGTGAAGCAGGTGAGGCCAGGCATGCTGCAAGTGTCATTATTATGGAGGCGCTTCAGGAGCTTCCTCAGCTTTTTCCTGCGTTTCTGCTCTTTCATCAGCCACTGTTTCTTATCTTTGGAGGTCTTTCTACTAGATTAAAAGAACAGATATCTTCACTACCTACAGTAATCAACTGTCAACTGTAGATTGCAACATTAGTGATAAGGCGTTAGTGTGCCTTCCTTCAGCTTTATGACAGATAATGAATGAAAACCTACTTGACAGAATGCATCCGGCCTGATTTGAGTTTGAACAGTGCCCTATTGTTGTGTTGATACCTTTAAAGAAAACATTACACGATTATGTCAAATGTGTGATCAAGTCAACACTTAATGAAAGTATGAAAACCTTTTTTACGTAAAGGTGGAGGCTTACATGTTTTGGTTGCATTCACACTCTTTCGGTCGAACCTGCTTTAGATGTCCTTTCACCTCTCTGAGATTCTTTATTTTGGTCTGCAATGTCTCAATCTATTCAAAGAGCAAACATTTTTTAATAGCAAAATCAGTTGTTTGTTTTTATTCAGATTGTTTAAGAACAACTTCATAATCTTACCTCATGCTCAATGTGTAGTTTGTGATCTTTCCATGCTTGTAGAGATTTATATAATCCACCATCGCATCTGACTGTGTCGTTCATCAGTATTGAGCATCTGAACAAAAAAGTAAAGTTCCTTTTTCAGTTGTCTATCTAGGTTTTAAACAAGTATGCATGCTTATTAGATTTTCACTGATACTAGTTGTTATCATACACAGTAACGGACTATCTGTGTTTTACCTGTAGGTGACTTTAAGAGCAGCAGGTGGCGTGAGGGAGTTGAAGTTGTTGTCTGTGGGTCCCATTCCGCTATATTCTACATTCTCTCCATACACTGCCTGCTTTCTGCCTAGCATGAGGCTGGTGTTGAGGTCGAGTGGCTGGTAGCCTTTCTCCAGGTCCAGAGTGTAGACATTTGAGTCCAAGTGATAAGAGACAGAACGTGCCCAACGATTACGTGGTAAACTTTTCTTGGTCTTCAACTCTGGAATTAACATTGAAAAATTGCTTACAGAACATTCCTATAGAATTATTTCTCAAACTGATATCATATCAATATCATATATGCATATGAATATATTCAACCACCAGATGGAGACATTTGTACTGAAAAGAGTAGGTGCTTTTATATATTATATATATATATACTATATATATATATATATATATATATATATATTAAATTAAATGACTTCATTTAGAACGTTATTCTGGAAACTAAAATTAGAATTAAATCTATATTTATATTACATTTAATTTCAAGATACTGTTAATATTATTATTACCTTTTTTTATTATTATTATTATTTATTATTATTTGGCTATAATCCGGAATATTATGAATGAATTTACAAAGCTATCGTATTAAATGCAATAAACACTAATACCAAAGTGTCTTATAATTATTTTGACAAACATTATAAATATAATGGGACTTTTATTTTGATAGGCGTGTTGTGACGCGCATGCACTGTTCTCACACTTCCACGTGCGAACGGGAAGCGCATTTCTCGCAAATATTCATCTTCGCTAGTCCTATGACATAATAATTGTTAACAGTTTTGTTCTTTCCGTTAAGTGGCACGAAGTTACATCTTTAATAAGCATGTCTTGTTAAGATTTTCCTCATTCTATCGGCATGTTTGTCTGTTTTACCTAAGCACAGATGTCTGGATAAAAACAACACCACGGTAAGTACGAGCAAAATACTAATAAACACATGTAACGTTTTATGTAAGCTTTTCATATATTGCTTACTGTAGTTGAATGACAACAGGACATTCATATTGCCATGTATAAATCTATAATTTGATATTATAATTGTGTACTTGACACAACCTTATTCAGACCAGTTTTATTGCATTTACAAGATTATTCAGAATTAATTTAATTGATCTTAAGTAATTATTAACAAGTAACGTTAAATCGGTTTATTTGCATATTTCATTTTATATGTTCTCAAATTTCGTCCTTTTAATAACGTAATGATGCCTAATTTCTACAGCTCCTAGACAAGCTAAATAAAAGTAAGATTAAAAAAGGACAAAAACCAAAACATAATGCCTAAATCAGCAAAGAGTCTGACTAAAATGGAACATCAGAGTTCAGATGATGAAGAGGACGTTTTAGAGATGGAGAGAAACTTTGCTTTACTTAGTAAAAGGAGCACAATGCAAACTTCAGCAGAGGATGAAGAGGAAATGAGAGATGAAGATGCATCTGCAGAGGAAGACGAAGCTGAACCTGAAGAGGATGAAGACAATGGTGTGGATGATGAAGATGAGTCAGGGAGTGATGAAGATGAAGCAGATAGTAACCCTGAAGATGAAGGCGTCAGCAATGACCCATCACACACGGAGGGAAACCTTAAAAAAGGTAAGATCAGATATTTATGTAACCCTGGCAATGGTTTTATCATTTAAGTTATTATTTAGGAATATTTAATTGCTGATACTGTTTAAAAGAGCAATTTTACATTTACTTTCATGTCTTTGTTTTTGTGTAGAATTGTCAACCTTGTCCTTTGAGGAAATCATGAAGCTACAGAATAAAGTTGGAACAAAAGCGTACAATAAAATCGCTTATGGTGCCACAAAGCCTCAGAAGAAAACCGAGCCCATGAAACGATTAACTAAACACAGGTACCTGCAGTGTTTAGTATTATTTCTATTGATTAATTATTATAGGATTTTTTCATATTTTGATTTTGCTTTTATATACTTATTTTCCATTTCAGTTAGTTGTCAAGGCAGTATGTCCAATTTTTTTTTAAGTTTTCATATTCATAATATTAATATTCTATTAGATTTGTTTCATTTCTGTTAATGAAAATTATTTTAAATAGTTTTAGTTACCAATAACAACACTGCCCTGCTCAGCTAGGCTTTTTAAATTTGTAACCACCTTTAATCAATGTTTTTAGTGGTGCATCGTGCTAAAAAAATAATAATTTATGTGAGTTAAAGTTATTTTGTATAGCTGTTTTTGGCTTATGTGTATGTTTTGTCTAAAAACTATATGTTTTTTAGACCTCAAGAGATTTCTGCAAAGAAACATGTGCCTTTCCTCCGAAAAGTGGTTCCTGTCAAGAAAAGGGTGCGTTTCAGGAGTTTATTTAATTAATGATTTCTCATACTTAAGCTTAGGTATTTGAACAAACTGAAGACCTGATTTTTCGCTTTTTAAACATTACTTTTTCAGATTTCAAGGGACCCTCGCTTTGATGACCTCTCAGGGGAATACAAGCCTGGAATTTTTTCTCAGACGTACAAATTCATTAATGGCATCCGAGAAAAGGAAACAAAAGTCTGTGAAATTCTAAAATGCCTTACTGATTCCTGTTTGTTTTCATTATGTGCATTATTTTTATGCCCACTGTTGTTTGTTTCAGATAGTGAGGAAGAAACTCAAGAAAGCCAAATCAGACTGTAAAAAGGAAGAACTGAAAGCCTTGCTTAAAAGAATGGTATGTTTAAAATATACTGACACTTTAAACTTAATTTACAGAAAGCTATATAAAACATCATTACAGTTGTGATAACCTTAATATTGCTGCTTATGATATGCTTTATGTCTAATCCGTGTGTGTGTGTACAACAGGAAAACCAGCAGAGGGCCCGACAGAGGCAAGAGCAGGAAAGAGAAAAGGAACTTCAGTTCAAGCGGAAACAGAGAGAGTTGGTTGGCCAGGGACACAAACCTTTCTACCTAAAGAAATGTAAATCTGTCTTTGTTCTTATCCTGTTCCATGACTTTTTACCTTGTTCACATATATTGTGATATAAGTTCTTTTGAAGAACATTTGTTGGTGAATGTCATACTAGTCAGTTTTTTGAGCATCAGTGTTCATAACTATGTGTTATTTAGAAAAGAACATCAAATAATATATGGTATTATGATCATTTTTAGTTTATAACATCTTTAAAACCCTTCTACAGCTGACAAGAAGAAGCTGGAATTGGCTGAGAAGTACAGTGAGTTGAAAAAGAGCGGGAAACTGGAGAACTTCTTGAGTAAGAAGAGGAAGCGTAACGCCACCAAAGATCGCAAAAAGTTGCCCAATCAGCACAAGAAACGCCAAATTTGGACCAATCATGGCTCATCTGTGGCACCTTGAGTTGGTTATTTGTCTGAGTGTGACACAATGCAGAAGGACGTCTGCTGAAAAGTAAATCCTGCTGGACTATGATGTTAAAAGCTGACTTGGTATGATTTGAAGTGTACATTTCACCTACATTTGCACAGTTATGGATTAAGATGTGTTTTGTTAACGGGTTTGACATTTAAGATGTTTATCTTAAATATCCATTATCTTTTGTTGTTTAATTATGTTTTGAACATTTTAAAATAAAATCTTAAATTTATTCTCTGACACCTCATTATTTTACCACTAGATGGAGCTACTGATACTTCAAATAAAGAATCTCTGCATAAACCTAATTTTTTGCCTCAGCAAACCTCAGTTCCAAACCAGCAGAAGTTAATATGCAGAAAATCAACTATCTGAACTGCCACCGTATGACGTTAATCCAATTTTTTGACCTCAAGGGCACTAGACAGACACCTGTCAACAGGATGAGTCAGCTTGCATTTGTGTCTGCCCTCTCAAAATCCAAAAATATTTCTCTTTCGTCTAGATCATGACCCATTTTAGCACAGCCTGTTTAGGCCGAGGTTGTTTGTGGTGAATCCACAGGGTTTCGAAGATGGGCGTATCTTGAAATTGCTGTGATCAAGATACGAGCAGCAAGCACCCTGCTCGAGAAATCACAATTTTCAACAGTGTCATTGTTTAAATCTTAAGTTCAGCTTCTTCAGTGTTCTTCTGGATTAACCCACTTTGTAGCAAGGGTTTCCTAAAACCTTGCAATCCTGGAGCAAACACCCCTTGGTTCAAGCCGCACAAGGGTAAAGACCTCACTTAATCATTTAATTTGCATCCTTGAGTAATGGATGGGACTATCATGGCTATATATCTTCCTAACCTGCTGGACCATGTGCAACTAGAGTCCATCAAGTCCCTTAAGGGGGTGGATTTAATGCAGTCTGCAAATTTCAAGAAGGGCTCGATTTTAAAACAGGACACTCCAGCTAAGACTTTTGTGTTTGAAACCATCCTCGCTTGAATACAGAACGGTGGATTAGTGGCCTTCCGTAACCTTTGGTTTTATGTCGGAGTCATTCCTCTGCAGTTAATTCCTTTCTTTGGGTCACCGGAGGCTTTTAGAAATCTTGTCTCTGGAATCTAAAGTACACAATCCTTTCCCTTTCATCCTAAATCTGTCTTGTTAAAGATGCAGTCGTATTTCCGGTATTAATGAGAAAGAATCCGACGCTTTGGCTAAACAGAAGATTGTAGCATTTGTCATATGCTCTATGGCCATTGGGCCAGCCAAAGGAGTGATTGCTGGAACACAAGCAGGGATCGGAGAATGCTAAACTGAGAGCCATCATTCTTAATCCACGAGTTAGGATATTGCTACTCCTTCGTGCACAGGAAAGTAACCCAAGGCAACCCGAGACTCTTTTGCAATAGGCACAGAGGACAGATTTGCATTTTATTACCAACTTGTCACTTCGTTGATGTCTTCATATTTATGGATACAACAGTGGAATGAGTGGAGTGGGATTGGTAAATGAAACAGACCAGACGCAAACCTCACCAAAGGGCATCAAAACAAAGAACGTGTTGATACATGATTTTAAGACATGCTCCTTTCAACTTTTAATCAACTTTTGTTATTCCAGGAATAACATTCCTATCAAAGAAACAGTCCTAAACCTATCTCAGTCCTCAACCTTGAAATTAGGATTGATAAGAATGGCGTGCATGCACGCAAACCTAATCTTTTTCCCTATCACTAATACTGTGATAGTAATGTCCCAGGACCAACATGTAAATGTATCCTACTTTGCAAACCATGGTCAAAGGTCAGTGTTCAAATCATTTTTTGAAAGTTTCTACTTATGACTTAAGAGTGATTTCGGTTGAAACAAAATTACTTGCTGAACAATTTAAAATTTCCTTTTTTGTTGTCAATTTCTGCCAAAGACGGGAAGCTTTTTTTTAATGCCAGTACAATGTAATGAAGTGCAAAACATGCATTCAAGGTGTGTAGGGTGACCAAATGTCTTCTTTTTCCCAGACATGTCCTGGCCAGGATTTCTAAATTGCCTAAAATGTCTGAGTTTTGGCTTTGATTTCCTATTGTTTTCATATTTGCTGAAGGTAATGACTGAAAAGTAGTTGGACCAATAGCATGCATTCATTGTACACAATCGACCAATCGTGGTGTGAGGGAAGGAGGGATCTATAGAGAACAGTCAAAGAAAAAGAAATGTGTGTAAATATAATGTACAAGGACTACAGAGAGCATGTCATTGGGAAAACATAGCCAAAACCCGGACAATTTCTGCAATTTACAAATCTCTGCCAGAACATGTTCCGTATGGTGACCCTAAAGATGTCTAAATGATGTTTTGTCGGTGTATTGATTGGTGCATATTA